TACAGTTTCGCTATATACGCGTCGAAAAGGGAGATTTTTATGGCTGAAATCGCCCCACAGTCACACACAGTCGAATTCCGTATAAACCCGTCACACACGCACGTTGTCTGCAGGCTTTTACTATAACACCGGTTTTTATTTAAAGTACAATCTTAGAACGCACTATGTATGTACTCGTTGGTTTGGCCGAGTTGAGATTTTTCACGCAACCGAACATAACCGTTTGTTAGCGTTACTCCGCGAATAGCGGTTTGTGTGGCGTGGCTAGCTCAAATCGCCGTTACTTTTTCCAGCTATAATTTAAGCGAAATGTTTTCTTGCATAGGTTTTTTCGTTTATAAATTTTGATTTAATGATCGTAGGTATCAACTTGTGGTTTGAAACTATTAAGTTTTAATTTTCGGCACCGGCTAGCCTATCGCACACGCACACACAAGAAACATACATACACACGTATGCACACGCACAAAAATTTTCGCAAAACAGTTCTTCCACATTCACGGAGTGGATTTTATGCCACTTCACGACACCACTTTGTAGTAAAACAGCTTTATTTCTATTAATTTAACAGTCTTTAGCGTTTATTTTACACACACATTTCACAACATTAAAATATAAGGGCGAACTACGCTTAAGGCGGTTGGTTTAACAATGAATTTCTGTCCTGTCGTTCATCTTGTCGAAGTCTAGTTTGGGGTGCGGTCCGATCGTTCATTTCGTAGTCTGGTGTGCATGGTTGCATTCGTCCACAATGGTATGCCTGTCAGGTCCGTTCCTTTAGTCCGTCGTTCAAATCCCACACATATACCTGGCAACGTCCGTACTGTGCGGTCACTTAAACATTCGCTTGAAAAAATTTCCAAAGTGTATCTCTTTTACAAAGTGCTAAGCAATTATAATTTGTGTTATTCACACCGAAAAAAAGTTTATTGAGGCCGAATTCCAATAAATTGACATGATTTAGTCATAAAGTGCGTTGATTGAAAAGTGTTATTTTGTCGGCCTTCGTGCATATTTGCATATTTTGGTGCATTATTGTTGCTTTTGCGTGAGAGTGTAAGGAATATCGCATTTGTTTGTTCATTTTGCTTTCTTTCGCGCTTTACACACACCTTTGTTTATCATCGACAGTCGCTTTCTTGGTGACAGCTGATTTTGCTAACTCAGTGGCTTTAAAACTGTTACGTTCAGCACGGTTTCTACCCATTGAACTTCACTAAGTAAGCCCACTAGCTATTAAACTGCCAATTACTGTGAGCTTGAAACGTTTTCGTACAATACATTTATAATTTCGCTATTTTTATTCTTTTTTAATAAAATTCGCTGAAAATGTCTTGTCTGTTCGAAAAATGTAATGTAAAAGCCGGTTCGGACCGTTTTGTGGCGTGCTACCTTTGCGATGAACTGTCTTATTTAAAGTGTGCTGGATTAATGGGAGAGTTCTGGATATGATTATTGGAGACAATGGACTTCGCTGGTCATGTCCAAAGTGTAAAAAAAACTGTTGTGGATCTCTGTAAACTATTTAGAACCGCTAGAAATGGATTTTCGGAGATAGGCAGCTAAAACTTCTCAACGAGAAGTTCAAGAAGTATGATCAGATCAACTCTATTAGTAATAACTTAGGTAAATGTCTGGATTTAGTTTTTGTGGACTACGTTTCCAACGTCACAATAGCCCCTAGTTATGCTTTGATTACACCTGTCGATTCTCACGACCCACCACTAGAATAGTCCTTGATAAATTCACGCTATTCATGTTGCTTTACCCGTAAAAAATCAAGAGCGGAGCGATAGTCATTTAAAACAGCAGATTATAGTAAACTTAGGTTAGAGATATCGAAGATAACTTGGCCCCAGTATGATGGGAATGCTGACAATAGTGTCTTACATTTTAGCAATTCCTTACGCAATATTTTCAGTAAAATCATTCCTCTTATTAAGGAAGCTAACGTAACGTCNGCGGAGCGTTACTCATTTAAAACAGCAGATTATAATAAACTTAGGTTAGAGATATCGAAGATAACTTGGCCCCAGTATGATGGGAATGCTGACAATAGTGTCTTACATTTTAGCAATTCCTTACGCAATATTTTCAGTAAAATCATTCCTCTTATTAAGGAAGCTAACGTAACGTCTAGCGCTCAGTGGTTTACGAGCGAATTAAAACGCTTAAAAAATCAAAAATCCAAAGCATTTAAGCTTTTCAAAAAATCTGGCTTGTCTTCTTACTACTCTNTATTTTCAGTAAAATCATTCCTCTTATTAAGGAAGCTAACGTAACGTCTAGCGCTCAGTGGTTTACGAGCGAATTAAAACGCTTAAAAAATCAAAAATCCAAAGCATTTAAGCTTTTCAAAAAATCTGGCTTGTCTNCATTTTCAGTAAAATCATTCCTCTTGTTAAGGAAGCTAACGTAACGTCTAACGCTCAGTGGTTTACTGGCGAATTGAAACGCTTAAAAAATCAAAAATCCAAAGCATTTAAGCTTTTTAAAAAATCTGGCTTGTCTTCTCACTACTCCGCGTACTCCATTCTTAGGCATAAATACAATGTATTGAACAAAAAGTGTTACAATAATTATATTAACAGGGTTCGACTCAATATAGTCTCTAATCCCAAATCGTTTCACGCCTTTGTGAACACAAAGCGTAACNATCCAAAGCATTTAAGCTTTTTAAAAAATCTGGCTTGTCTTCTCACTACTCCGCGTACTCCATTCTTAGGCATAAATACAATGTATTGAACAAAAAGTGTTACAATAATTATATTAACAGGGTTCGACTCAATATAGTTTCTAATCCCAAATCGTTTTACGCATTTGTGAACACTAAGCGTAAGACTAACGGTTATCCCTCAACATTGAAGTTAAATGACTTAGTTTCCAGTGACGAAAATATTATTGCCGATATGTTTGCTGGTTTCTTCAAGTCAAACTACTCTGCCAGCTCTACATCTTCCCAACTAAATTCGAATCTATCTAGCTACCCCTTCGATCTGCCATCATTTGATTGTATCCGAATTCCATCGATATCTGCTGCGGACGTCCTCATTCATTTGAATTGTTTGAAAATTTCATATACAGCTGGCCCAGACGGTATACCCACAAGTGTTCTTAAAAGTTGTGCAGAGTATTTGTATAAGCCTCTGGCAAATATTTTTAATGCTTCCCTAAAACAGGGTGTCTTCCCATCTTCCTGGAAGGATTCGTTTATCTTGCCACTTTATAAAAATGGAAGTAGGACTAACATCGTAAACTATAGAGGAATTGCGAAGCTTTGTGCTATTGCTAAAGTTTTTGAGGCAATCGTTACGGAAGAACTATCTCACTCTATTACTTCTGCTATTGATCTATCGCAACACGGTTTTTGCAAAGGTAAATCAACTGTATCCAATCTTCTTGAATTCACTACTTATGTGTCTAATGGGTTTAAAAACAATCTTCGAACGGACGTGATTTACACTGATTTCAGCAAGGCATTTGATAAAGTATCTCATTCAACCCTTATATATAAACTTGATCCAATTGGTTTCCCTCCTATTCTTCTCACCTGGCTTTCTTCTTACTTAGTGGATAGGAAACAAAGAGTAATTTTTAAAAATTGTACCTCCCGGCCAATACATGTCACATCCGGCGTACCTCAGGGCAGCCATATTGGTCCCGTCTTGTTTATTTTATTTATAAATGACCTTCCTAAGGTGTTGAATTACTCGAAATGCTTAATGTACGCTGATGATGTTAAGCTCTTTAAGTACATTAGTACTGCAGAAGATAGGGAGCATTTGCAAGCTGACCTAACCAGCATTTTCGAGTGGTGTGAAGCAAATTCCATGTCACTCAATTTGAAAAAGTGTAAATCCATGACCTTCTCTAGAAAATCGTTCTATCCAAATTCGTATATGATATCTGACCACAATGTTGAGCAAGTGACCAATTTCATTGACCTAGGTGTAACTATGGATCCGAAACTAGAATTCAAGTCTCACATAAACTCCTGCGTGATTAGGGCTAGAGGATTGTTGGCTTTTCTTAAGCGCTGGGCCAAGGAGTTCAACGATCCTTATGTCACTAAAGTTCTCTTTACCTCTCTAGTTAGACCGATTTTGGAGTATGCATCTATAGTATGGAATCCTAGCTATCAAATTCATAGTGACAGGCTCGAATCAGTGCAGAAACAGTTCCTGTTATTTGCCCTCAAAAATTTATGTTGGGACTCGTCTAAAAATCTCCCACCCTACAAGGATCGCCTGAAGCTTATAGATTTGCCGACGCTTCAGAGTCGTAGAGAGATGCTTGGTGCTCTTTTTTTAATTAAATTAATGAACGGGATGGTCAGTAGTCCCTTTTAACTGAGTGAAATAAATTTTTGTATTCCTAAAAGACCCACGAGACATTTTAAACCTATTGTGTTGAGTTTTTGTAAATCAAACTTTGAAATGCATGATGCTTTTCGGCGTTTATGCCAAGATTGTAACAGACATTATGATTGCTTCGACACATCTGAACCGCTTTTTGTAATAAAGAAAACTTTGCTCAACAAGTTAACTAAATAAGCTAATATCTGTAACCGTGAACGAAAAATTACACAATATCTATACTGCTTAGTACAATTGTAACGGCTTCGTATATTTTCGCGACCGCGTAGGACAATACGAGCAGGGGTCGGAAACTCGGCCTTTCCGACCCCGCCCAACAGTTCGTCTATACCGCGGAGCGGAAACTAGGACTTTCCGCCTGCCTCACATACAAAGTAATGACTACGGGAACATGGATCGGAAGCTCGGCCTTTCCGAACATGATCCACGGCCTGTAAACAGCGCGGAGCGGAAACTAGGTCTTTCCGCCCGCCGCACACAAAAGCAGACTGGAGACTAGGCCTCGCCAGCTACCCAAATTGCTATTGTATATCAATATTATCTTTACAAGTTAATATGTATAATTAGTTCACTATGTAATATATCATACATACTTAAATATCTAAATCTTTTTATCTCAATTGTCTGTATGAAAACATTTTTCTGTAGACTAAATAAATAAATAAATGTAAGCAGCCGCGATATCCTCCGTGTCCTCCTTCTGGTTGATTGTTTTTTCCCTTTTCTGTAGTATACGTAAACTCTCTATTGGGTATCTTACCCGTTCCCTCTTCTCTTTGTCCAATATTCTGACGTTAGCTAGATCAGCTGTATGACCACTGGTAAGTACGTGTTGTGCTAGTGCTGTGCTGTTTTTCTTTTCCTTTATGTCGGCTTCGTGCTCTGAAAGGCGAACGCCTAGTGCACGTTTTGTTGTCCCTATGTAAACTTTGTTGCAGTCTTCGTTTTCTTTGCCTATACATGGGATTTCATAGACCTCGTTGTTTTGTTGGTGGAGCTTGATCGGTGTGAAGATCGAAGATAGTGTGCTGTTGGTTCGGTATGCCAATTTAATATTACGGTTGTTGGTGGTTATTTCGTGGTCAAGTTGTTGATGGAACTTTGGAATGTAGGTCACACTATGATATCGCTTTGTTCCGTCTGTTGTTTTCGTGGTTGGCATTTTGTTTTGATCTTTATTTATCTCTGTTACTTTCTGTACGATTAGGCTTTGTACTAGGTGGTGTGGGTAGTTGTTACTTGCGAGAATTTTCTTTATTTTACCTATATTCGTCTCCATAAATTGTTGGTGGCTAGTGGTGGTAGATCGACCAGCCTAGAACAATAACAACATATAACAAAAAACTCGATCAAAAGCTTACAAAGATATCACAAATATATTTAAAGAGCTTTATGAAGTAAGATTTAAAAAACAAATTTTTATCTATGAACCATTGTTAATTTTTTTGAGTGTGGGTGTTAGTTAATATCTTTTCGAAGGTAATCAGAAAATATGTAAGGTACCGACTTTCTCTTGGAAATTTGATTTTTAATCTTATAACTGGAGTCTACTATCGCACCCTTTCCTCAAATGTGTATTAATTCAATATTCAAATACCGTTTATTTATCTAATTTGAAAAAATTTGCCTACGATACAAATATGTACTGCAGTATTAACTAATATTGTGAGAGGGAGTAACCATGATACAAACATAACAAGGTAAAACCATTGAGAGGTAGTCTGACGTTTGCCAGCAAAATAATTTAGAAATTCAAAACTCAAACTCACACACACATTCTCATTTTCAATCTCAAACAACAACAATTGTGAACAATTTAGTTTTTTTTATTTTCAACTAGATTGCCCTCACCCGCTTCGCTGAGTGTATGAGATTTTTACTTGCTACATGGAGTAAAATTTATTTCAAGAAAACTCAATTCAAAAACAGGAGGTTAAAAAGTTGTTTAACCATCTTCAAAATATTTTCAAACTAAAACTTTCTTAAACTTCTCACTTGTCATACTTTTTCAATTAACTTATCCCCTGAACTCAATTTGAGATTTTAGACGGATGAAAACCCCTTACATGTAGTTTTGAAATGAAGCCCTTTCAAAACCATTTCGACTGATACTCATATTGAAATAAATCATTTAGATTATTGAATAGTTTGAATTTAACCTTTTAAATAGTTGGCAACCTTTTAAAACCCCTTTCGTCTGACACTCATATTGTGATACATATTCAAAACCATATCGATTCATACCAATCTATACTAATATATATTTTTAAAGCGGTTATTTTTTGAGTTCGCAAAGCTCGAGAACAGCCGAACCGATTTTTTTTTTTTTGAAATTTCGGGCACATACTTCAGACGTCCCAAGGATTATTCTAGGCTAAAAAAATGTTTGATATATAAAGGGGGCGTGGCACTTCCCATACAAACCGAATATTTCATACCGAATATCTCTGGAAATGTTCATGGTAGAGTACTCGAACTTCGTGTGAAGATATATGAAATTAATCTTATACTCATGGAGAAAAATGGCGTGGCGCCGTACAAACGTATATATAATTCATCTGTAGGTATGTTTGTGAGTGAAATCCTCCTAAATGCTCGCACGGATTTTTGTGTGTTTTTGAGTAACTCTCTGGATAGTGTAGTTTCACAAATTCACCCGCCAATACGAATAATCGCCAAGTTAGAAGAGGTGCCGTGAATTTCCGATTAAATCGACTTGTTACACCATTGAGTGTTTCGAACTCTTGTGTGCTACGATTGGCCCAATGGATGTGATTTTTGCCAGTATTGTTATGCGTTAAAGCTTCATTCGTAGACACCAGCGTTGAGTTGTGCAGGGGTAAATGTCAAATTATCACCGATAAATCAACCGTCAGATCCACAGTGCGCCTTTTACTGTAATAAATTCAAATAAAAAATAAGTTTTTACTTAAACTGCTTTCCTGAAACTTACTTTTAAGGTATTTCTGAAATAAGTCTGTGTATATTGGATTTCTGTAGAACAATTATACGAATCCATTTTAAATTGCCACCAACTATACTCTAAAGTTTCTGGGACAGATTCACTATAGAATCGGATTATTGTTGCCGCCAGGGAGTGAAGAGGAAATGTTCTTCACATTTATTTCGTTGCGAGATTAACCGTTTTATGAAATGCTGCACAATTAGAGAATTTCATGAACTTATTCACGACATTAACGCTTTTGTTAGGTTATTTAAGCGGCAAACGACCACTAAACCATAATCTTAGCCGATGAGCGTGCCAATGGAAATCGTAAACGTGAATTGTTGGTGAAAATGTTGGACCAAAAAGTTCCAATAAAAAAATAATAACTTTGGGCGGGACGAAGTTCGCCGAATCTGCTAGTATTATAATTAGGGACCGTACAGTTACAACTCCTATTACAAAATCACTCTTTAACAATTATTTTTTGACTTTTATTTAAATACTCTTTAAATAACCGTTATTTCGGACTTTTATTTTATAAATCGAAAATACCAATTATTTTTGATTTTTATTTAAATAATCTGCAAATAACAGTTATTTTTGATTTTTAAATTTTATGTCTTAAATAACAGTTATCGAAGACTTTTATTTATAAAAGTCATAAATAAAAATCTGTCACTGATCTTTATTTTTTCAATCATACTTATAAAAGTCATTTGAATAAGTCGTAGTAAACTTTTGTTTTCCAACACCTTAACTGCGAAAATGACTTAATGACTTTTATATGATTGATTTAAAAAATAAACGTCGGTCACTGATTTATATTAATGACTTTTAAAAGTAAAAGTCACTGACTGATTTTTATTGATGACTTTTATAAATAAAACTCTTCAATAACTGTTATCTAAGCCATATAATATAAAAATCAAAAATAATTGTTATTTTGGATTTATGATATAAAAATCAAATATAATTGTTATTTTTTTAAATTTTGCATAAAAATATGCAATTTAAAAAATGCAAATTTATTTTGAAATTTGAGTCTCGGTGCAAAACGAAATCGATTGGTATGTTTCACTTAGTTGTTTAGCTGGTTTCCTTCATAGTGAACTTTTCCATGACAGTTTTCATCAATAACTGTTATGTTCGGTCCCTGATTATAATATTTCCTTTAAACTAATTTTATTGAATTTTTAAAAAGGTGGCAACCCTTGTGAAAAACTTCGATATCATTCAAAACTTTAAAACTAAAGGTTTCGTAACAATATTTCGTTTGACAGCCTTATTTTAACTCTTCAGAGAGCTTGCGTATAATTAATTTAAATTAGACTTTGTAAACAGGTGGCAACCCTTTAAACGATATATTCAAACGACAGAGTTTTTAAGCCTCTTGGCATCCATATTTTAATATAATTTTCAAATAAAAACTCCCTTAATTGAAGTTGAATTTTATTTTTTAAAAGGTGGCAGCCCTCATCGATGAGTGAATAATGATTATATATATCTCCAAACCAAGTTCCAGTAATCTACCAAAAATATTTCCTGAGAAATGCAGTATGACACATTCCGTTTGTATGGGAGGTGCCACGCCCCCTTGTCTAATCGAAATTAAATGTATCCTATATTTTAAGTTGGGCTAAATGACAGGAGTGTACAAAATTTCATGATGATCGGTTGAGTAGTTAAAGCGTGAAACAAACAAACTCACTTTCGGATTTATAATATTAGTAAGGATTTTATATGATTTTAAAATGTTGGCAAACGTCAGAAAAAAATCATGGCCGATGAATTGAGAGAATGAATTCACATTGTAATGTTTTTATCATGGAGGTGGATTTGCAATTTTTTGCTGCTGTGGATTTGATTTTCGTTTGACTTGTATGTACCTATCAATATCCGTTTGAGTCAATGTACGGGTTGTTGGATTAAGTAGGTCAACTTGCTCTACGCTGCGTTGCTTGGCTTGGGCTCCCAGCAAATTTTTGGCAAGCGCTTCTTCTATCATCAATTCTATAACTAATTGACCGCCCATCAAAAAATATTTTCCGATTATCTTATACATTACCAGTCATCGAACAACTTACTTTTGCGTTACATTACAAAAGTGCTTCTGAGTAGGGCACCAAAGAAGCGCGTAATTTGAAAATTCGTCTACTTTTCGCTTTACTCCTTAAAGAGTACAGTTATTTTTTCTATCTGCTTTACACACTTTCGCTTTGTTTTATAAATTTCTGGAAATGTTTATTGACGCGAAGCCAGGCTAAAGTTGAAAATTGTGAATTTAAGTGATTTGATTAATACTAAAAGGTGAAAACTGTTTGCAAAATAAGCAGCATGTATAGTAAAAGGCATTTGAAACGCCTTGTCAGCAAAGAGATAGCTATTTTATATGAAAAACCCCAGGCTAGAAAAAAGCCGAATGAATTTCCAAGAAATGAAATTGAGTGCATTGTCAACGAAGAAGTAGAAGGCGTTCAAGAAAATAAAAACGATAATTTAACAAAAAAACTAAGGCAGTGGTTTTTGGAGTGTAGTCCAACGGTTGCAACGTGCAATTGCTTGTTAAATATTTTGCAATCCGAAAACATTGCAGTGCCGAAGTCGGTTTCGGGATTAGTGCAGTCAAGGATGCCCGCTGTGATTGGAACAGTTACTCCTGGACAATATGTTCATATTGGACTTCGTCATCAGCTTTAAAAGTTTTTAACTACTCTATTAAAGGAGAACATCAATGAGGTGTTTTTAGATATTGGTGTAGATGGACTACCCCTTTATAAAAGCTCAGCAGTAGGGTTATGGCCAATTTTAGGTCACTTATCAAATTTACCATACAGTGAACCCTTCCTTATAGCTTTCTCCAGGACTTTATTATTGAATTAAAAAGTATTTTAGAAAACGGAGGCGTACGGTTTGGAAGTGAATTCGTACAATTATCTATCCGAGCTTTTATTTGTGATGCTCCAGCGCGGTCATTTCTTTGCGGCGTTAAAGGGCATAACGCCCTAAATGGTTGCACAAAATGTATTCAAACTGGTCGAAACATTAGGGGTGTAACTACATTTCAAGTTGAGGTTGCAAGATTACGTACTGACACGGATTTCTATAACCGAAACGATAGATTCTTCCACAATCCATTATATGCTGATCGCAGATCGAACTTGGAAGAGTTAGGAATTGAGATGATTAGCCAGTTCCCCTTAGATGCTATGCATTTAATAGACATGGGAGTAAAGAGAAAAATTATTTCATTCCTTTTAACATCAAAAACAAATCAAAAGTTACGAATGGATGAAAAAAAGCGATGTCTTCTATACTGACATCCTTCATACCTAATGTGACCAACTATTTCATAGTTCAAAGAAGTACAGGTTAGGGGGGGACGGGTTAAGTTAACGCCGCGAGCCGATCATGAAATATCGAATGCGCCTAATTACGATCCCTGAGTGTAGCTAAGTGTTTGCTAAGAAGTGCGAGCAAAATGCTTCCATCTTACCCTCGCGAAGGTTGGACAGTCTAAAAGAAAGTGTGGAGGTGATTCCACTTCATCTTCCTCTTGACATCTCATACAAAAAGATCAGTTGAAATTCCTAGTCTCACCGCATGAATACCAATCGCACAACGGCCTGTCAGAACCCCCATCACTAGCCTTCAGAGGTAACGTGTTTTAAAGTTCCCTATAAAAACATTTTCTGCAGCAGAGAAAGGTCTTCTTTTTCTTTTTTAAGTCACAAAATCGTGTGTTTGCTATCCCCAGGCACCGTGCTCAACATATGTATGTTAAGCGCCAGTGTAGGTGGATTCTTAATGCTCCGCTAATTCCTGCTTTACAAGTGTAGCCTTCTCTAGTGAGTATCACCAGCGAAGGGCTCCTTGAAACAATATAGGCTTATATATGGTTTCCTAGAACTAAGGAATTAATTTGGGCGAGAGAACCCACCTTTCACCGATAGTTCCCCTACAGCAGTATAAGGCAACCGACACCTTTCCTACCCTTTCCTCAATCTTAGGCTTCTACGACAGCCGCCGTTAATCGCCCACCTAGTTACCTGGTTCAGGTAACCTTGAGCCAGATCAAAAAGGGCATATAGAAATCGTTCCTTAAGCAAAAGCTCCACATCATCTACACAGGCGATCACCCGACGGCCCACTTTTTCCAGTTTCTCTAGAAGGTCGTTTACAACCGCAGTCCAGAGCAGGAGAGAGAGAACACCACCTTGTGGAATGCTCCTGTTGACTCTGCACTGAGTGCAGATGCTCCCCCACTCCGCCCCGACGGTTCTGTCAGGAAGTAAGCTTATAACGTTAGTTTCAACCCCCAATTGTTTTGAAATGGATGTACGCCTTAAAGAACTCGTATACGTTATACAATCACTTGAACCCTCAGTTTCAGATCTCATTTGTAGGTAACTGATAACGTGTTTTAAAATATTTAAGATTATATATTTTGCTTAGCTGCACATCCTTCTTTGCACGAAAAACTTGTGCACGTAACCGAAAAAGGCACTTAAGCGAATTTTCTTTACTACTTCAATGAGGAAGGTATCCGAATCCCTATGAAACCAAATATTGGCGGAGCACTTACCATGTAGAAATTACTGCAAGCGAAATTTTTACCGAATGTTATCTAATTATCTATATAACTACATAAATTGATAGCCATTTTCGTTGTTCTGCGAGATGAGCAAAATAAATAAAAGGTTGTAAAATTAGGTAATTGTAGGGCCAGTGCAGGTAAACGTAATACTTTCATTGATAATTGATACTAGTCGCACAATTTTTAAGGATGGTATCGCCAATGTGCAGGTATGTTGAGTGCATCTATCGGAGCAGTTTCCTTATAAATGTTAAAAATAATGCTTTTGATGCGCATTTTGGGGT